ACCATCTTCTTTGCTGGTAAATTCTTATAATTTCTTTCTTCCTCTAATGGGGCTCTTATTCATGAAGGGATAGAAAGCTCTGTACTCATGTGCCCTTCATGTATGCCCAATCCACGTTACTAAGGTTACTGCAGTGGGTGATAACTCAGCACTACCAGCGAGCCACATCTGCTTCTCAGGCTCACTCACATTTTACCTCTGCACTAGAGAGGGTAGCTTGGAAAAATACATTGGGTTATCAGGACTTTTTCCTAACTCCCTTTTCAAGATAATAGTATGTATAACAGGCTATTTTTGAAGTAAATTGACATAAAGTAGCATTTGGGAATCAGGGATATAATACTTTATTTGCCCAACTCACCTTTTAACTGCCTAGTGGTGCTTCCTCTGGCACCAATGATAATAATAATAATAATAATAATAATAATAATAATAAATTAAACATAGCTGAATGATATGGGATGATCTGGAGGAAATTAAGCATGATCCTTTCTAGATTTTCACCAAAGCAGAGGAAGGATCCATTTCCAACTCTGTATTTCACTAGCTGTGAACTTTGAGTAAACCATTTAACCTGGTAATTGATGAATAAATGTATTTTGCATGTGGTAGGCTTTTAGTGGTGAGGAAAAGGGTAAAGAGGAAGCCAGGTTTGTAGACATCTGTCTGTGATTACACTACTTCTTCTAAAACCAAATGTTTCTATCTCAGATTTTATGTATCACTGCACTGCTCCAGTTGCCTGATGCTGTGTTCTTTTTGGCTGGCCTGTTTGTTTTGTTCATGCTCCTGTGATACACAGGGTCTGGGAGTTCCATTTTAGGTTACTGCACTAACCTGAAGATCTATAGCTTAGCATTGTTAGTTGGAAGGTACTGCAGCTGATTCTACTTAGCTGCTTTTTTTCTGGGAGAGTTACCACCTAAGCATCTAAGACAGATGCTCTTTGATGGTTTAAAAAATAAACAAACAAAAAACAAACAAAAACTTGGAGAATTGAACACTTTGGTCAAAATTTATAACTGAACAAAATAAAGCAGGTTATTAGTATGGAGTTATCAGTAGAGCTTTTAAAAATCTGCCTAATTTTTCCTAGAATATATAGTCTAGATTTATGTTGTTTACTAATTACTTATTTAAATATATATATTTCTTTTTTTTTTCTGTTCCTTTTCACCCTCCCAGGAGAGTCATCAACCTCACCTCACTGTTTACTTCTATGACAGAATTGTAGGCAAGAAGAATATAATTGGAAGGCACCTCAGAGATAGGCAGTTTGTTGTATGCATAGACTAATTTTCTGTGAAAATTTGGAGTGCTCATGTGGATTTTGTGGGTCTCTGTTTCTACCTTTGTAATATGACCTCCAAGAGTCATTAGGTTCTGGTCCTGTTTAATGCTGACAGTTCTCTGTGACATAATAGGATTTGTTGAAGTTGAAGAAAATGCTCAGAAATGTTTTTTAATGTTGGGTATAAAGGAGACATAGGTCTGGATAGGTCATTTGAACCTAAAAATTAGGCTGTGAACTAGAATTTGGTTGTCATGTCTCCATCAACTTTGATCTCCTTTGCTGATCACTTAAGATCTCATTGTGTGCATTCTTCTTATACATTATTATGACTTTTCAAAGGAGTTGGTGACAATTTTATAGGTGTTATAATATTTTTTTAGTGCAGTGTTTGGCCAAATGAAGGCGAAGCAAGTTTCTTGGTCCTGGTTGTACACTAGAATCACCTGAGTTTTAAAGGAATACTGGCATCTGACTCTTCCTCCCCACTCCCCTCCCCTCCCCCCAAGATCCTAATTGAATTGGGTGAGATGGAGTTTTGGCTTCAGTGTCTATAGAAAAGCTTTAATGTTAACTCTAGTTTGTAGGCAATGTTTAGAACTACTGGGTGGCGTTAAGAAAGGTTTATGAGACTTATAATCCTAATAAGGCTATGAACAAAGTATTTCTTGAAATGAGTACACTCAGAAGGGTAAGAGAAGTAGAAATGTTTCTTTATGACACATATCCTTACTAATCCTATGGGGTTTAAGGTAGAAATAACAATGTGTTTCTTTTACCTAATACAGTGTTTCTCAAAGTGTGGTCCCATGACCATTAGCATCAACATCACCTGGGAAGTTCTTAGAAATGCAAATTATTGGGTCCTACCCCAGACCTACTGAATTAGAAAGCCTGGGGGTGGGACCCAGTAATCTATGTTTGAATAAGAGTTTCCAGAGATCCCAATGAACCCTAAAGTTTGAGGACCATCAGAGAGTTTTGTAGGAGTGAGAGGTAGTGGATGAACATCTTAGCATGTTGTGCATAGCAAGAGATCAAAAAGCAGAGTATTATAAACATAGCGTTTGAATGCTTGGTAGTCTGAATATGGTGGGAAACCAGAGCTCCCTAGACTATTATTTACAGGGTAAATGGAGCCCACATGAACCATTTGAAAAACGTTTCAGACCAACCAGTCCAAGTTACCATCCTTCCACTGTTCAATTTCGACTGTCCTTTTTCTAAAGATCTAAGTTGTAATGCTTTGGTACTATCCAAAAGCATCCCACTGAGTGATAGCAACTGCTGCCCCACGACTAAGTGTTAAATTGCTAAAATGTAAAGAAAAGCTACTTATCTATAAATAAAGAATTTTCCCATCACATCTAAATATTGTTATTTATTTATTTATTATTTATGGCAACAGGTATTTATTTGAGATATTCAGGAAGCATACTTTAGGCAGAAGCCCAAATAATGTTTCAATTAGGAGATGAAGGCAATGGTATTTATGAGAAAGGGAAAGGAAACAATTACATCAATGGAAGGAATGTGTTTCTATTGGTGCAGATAACATAACATAGTGATGCTAATTCTAAACAATTTAAAATTTTCAGTGCCCTACTTATCAGTAGGTGGTCATAATATCTGCTTTCTTGTTATCATTGAAAACAGTTCTTTGGGGCACAGCATTGCTTTAGGCACAGTGCAGAGGTTATTTTGCCCTGTTTTAACATTCTGAAAATTTGTGGCATAGTACCTGCCAGACAGTTCCTCCTGGATGGCAGCTCTGGCTCCATTTTAAAGTGGCTCTGTTGATATGATTTTTTTACATGAGGTCTAAGTGTTTGTAGTCATCTACTTTCTTTAGGCACATATTATTTTTCACCATATGCATGCATTTCTTTTGTAATATTCTAAAGGAATATCCCCTTTTTAATAGTCTCCTCCCTCCAGAGTACCTAGCTCCCTGCCCAGGTCTGGGTCAATCCCTCCTTGTGTCCCCATTCCCCTGGCTGTGGCCTCTTGCCTCCACTGCCCCACTCCCACCTCTTGCTTTCTTTGTCATCACTCTAGGCTTGAGAACCAACAGAGATCTCCCCTCTTCTTCTATACTAATTCTCCCTCCTCTGAACTTCAAAAATCAGCTCAGACATCTCCTCCCCCAGGAAGCATCTGGACTCCTCCAGGCTGGCTGGGGACCTCTCCTCTTGCATCATGATGGCTCCCATATGCCCAGAGCTTCTTGCCTGTTCCCTAATGTGTCTGCTTTCCTCACTGGATGGTACAGCCTGAGGGGCCAGGACTTCCACAGTCTGCATGCAGCAGGTGCCTCATAAATGAGTGTAAAATGAACAAATGAACGAATGCACTCAGCCATCCTGACCTTCAAACCCTATTCACACATTCGACTCCTAGGACTATGCCTACTGTGCATATCTCTCTCCTTCTGTCCACACCTACCGGCGCATTAAAATATTATTTTTAAAAGATGGAGCAGGGGATAGGGGGAATAAATTTTGATGGAAGGAGACTTGACTTGGGTGAACATACAACAGTACACAGATGATGTGTTGTGGAGTTGTACACCTGAAATATGTTAACCAATGTCACCCCAATAAATTTAATATAAAGGAAAAGGACAAATAAATAAAACAATTTTAATGGGCATTTTCTTTTCCTAATAAAATTTCTTGCAGAGTATTAAAAAAAAAGATTCTATACCATGAATCCACAGAGTTCTTGGATATATATTGACACCTCAAATCTTAGAGAGTAGGCATATTCTTCCAACAACTCTATGTGCTGTGCTTGTTGGTCACAATGTTGGGGTTTCTTAGTGTCCTAAAGCCTCATTACTTCCTACCTGGACTGCATATAGATTCCAAATCAATATTTCTTATCCCAAGTTTTTCAGAATCTGCCTTGCATGTACTTTTTAGATTAGTCTTTAGTAAATCATATTGCAACCAAGTGTTTCCTTTCCAGAAATCTTGGATGGATCCTCATTGTAAGCATGATAGAATCCAAGTTCTTTGCTGGTTGTACAACACACTTAAAAGCTTATTTTGTCACTGTTCTAATTTTTGTAACATACTAGTTTATCTTACATTTCTCTATGCTGTATTGTTACTTGCTCTTTGTTCCTTAGGGTCTAAATTTGTTTTTTTAAAAAATCCCTATGTCTTTATTCCTCTCTCTGTGTAGAGTGGACTTATTTTCTACATTATAATTTTCAGGAACAATTTAAATGCTCGGTGTAAACCTTCATTTCTCTACCTGGACACAAGCTTTCCTTCATCTCAACTTCCAGGAGAGTTTGTTTGTACATCTTAATAAATTTCATCTTTTATTATCCTTACTTGAGTACTTATTTTTTTCCTCCTTTACTTGAGAGAAAATTTGTTGTGAGTAAAAATCAAGTCTTATATACTTCAATAATCCACCACCCCAATGACCTTCCTTGTTCTGGTTAAATGTACCTGACCCCTATAGAGTAGCTTTGATGTTACTTAGAAGTATCAAATCTGGTCCTCAATCTTCAGAAAGTTAAGGCTACTAATTAAAGTGAGAAGAAGTAGGATAGGGAATAATTGTTATGCAAGGCAAAAGATCATGCCAATTGACATGCCAATTACAAGCAGAAAATGCCAGCTAATGTGTGTTTTGAAGAGTGCTTATAAGATTGCATCTATAGTAACTTCATGTTTGTGTTTTCTTTCTGTAGGTGATTTTCTTCCACCCCCACCTCCACCTCTAGATGATCCTGGTACTCTTCCATCTGTCTCTGGAAACTTCCCTCCTCCACCACCCCTAGATGAAGGTTCTTTCAGGGCACAGGTAAGATCTGTGGTTGAAGTCATGTTTATAAGCCATGCTAGGAAGCTCATGAATTCAGTGATTATTTTTGTGGCAGGTATACATTTATCCAGAGCGCACAGAGAGCTTTATGACACAACAAGCTAAGGCACCTTAATGCAAAACACCCAACTCAAGCTTCTCAGAGCTTGCATTCCCAAGCCTTAGAAATCCTTTCACCTACTCATTTGTTTCAAAACTGAAAGTCATGTTTTAAGAATGTCATTTGAGCAGTTCACATGTTCTTATTATCCTGGGGACACACAACCATAGATTTTTATTGCCTTTTTTTCTTTATTCACAAATATTGCATTCTACGTGAGTAAGGCTGATATTTTAAGGCTCTAGTTGGTCACTAGGTCCTAATTGGTCAGCAGTATCTTTCTAGCAAAAGCAGCAGCAAATGTCTTTAGGATTTTCTCTTCTGAGTGAGGTCCACGATGCACATTACACAGTGTATTGGTTATATACAACTGTTGTGCTCCAGAGACTGCTGATTGCATCTGGCTAGAGTAGGAAGCAATATTAGAAGTAGTTCTCAGCCTGTGATCATATAGGGGCATTGGTGACCACCTGCCACCATTTAGGCAGCCAAGTGCTTTCTATTCATGTCAGGGAGGAAACCTAAATAACAGATCAAATAATTATTGTTAGTTTTTAGGGGTGATGTGGTTACTCCAGACAGGGTGAAGAAAAAAACACAACAGTTCTTAACTTTTAGAGAAACATTGGAAATATTTGAGGAGAAATGAAATGGTGTTTGATATTTGTTTCAAAATAATAAGAGTAAGGATTTAGTGAGAATATAGGTAAAAATAAGTTTAGTTATGAGTTGATAATTCTTGGGTGCTGGAGGTTTATTCTATTATTTGGTCTATCTTTATATGTTTAAATTTTCTCACAATAAGTTTTAAAGAGGAAAAGCATTAGGAAATAACCCTTAAATAGTTTGGTCCGTTATCTATCTTTCTTTCTCCTACATTTTGGGTTTGGGGGAGATCGAGGAAGAAATGATGCATTCATTCAGTGAATTTTCTGTGCATCTGTGTGAGCACCCTAATACCACTAGGAATTCTATAGCAAAAAAGGTAGGGTTCTGCTTTCATGACACTTTATGTTAGTAAAACTAGGTAGAAGTAAATAAAATACATACAATACAAAGTACATTTGATTCGGATCTATTCTATGGGTTGAGGAAAGGATAGGGGATACAACCTACCAGGGCAGACATGGTCAAAAAGACCTCACTGGTAAGGTGACACCTAAAGAAGGACTTAGAGTAGGAGAGGCAAGAAGTAGCCATTGGATTTCTTCCTTCCTTCCTTCCTTCCTTCCTTCCTTCCTTCCTTCCTTCCTTCCTTCCTTCCTTCCTTTCTTTCTTTCTTTCTTTCTTTCTTTCTTTCTTTCTTTCTTTCTTTCTTTCTTTCTTTCTTTCTTTCTCTCTTATTTTCTTTTTTTTTTAGGGTTTATTTTTCATATCTAGATCTTAGGAACTAGAAGTTGCTTTTTTTTTTTTTTTAATTAATCAGTTGAAATTAAGAGTTCCAGTTATAACCAGTAAGCTTCAATTCAGTTTGGAGGCTAGATCTCAAAAGACTCTTAATTTTTTTTTTTCCTCTGCCCAGCTGGCATGGAGCAGTGGATTGAGCTTCATCCCATGCACCAAGAGGTTGCTGTTTCCATTCTGGATAAGGGCATATGTCTGGGTTGTGAGCTCAATCCCAGTTGGGGTGTGCAGGAGGAAGCCAATTGATGTTTCTCTGTCATTGGTATTTCTATCTTTTCTCCCTCTCCCTTCATCTCTCTCTAAAAAGTCAATAAAACAAATTAAAAAAAATTCTCAGATATACATGTTACAAACTCCTATACCTTATCTTATTTTAAGCTGGTAAAAATAGATCATATTCAAGTAATGGACAGGAGTCTGACAAAGTTTATATTTATTTTATGCATCAGAGAGATCCCTTGCAAATAGAAACAAAATGATCAATTTCCCTTTTTCTTTTTGTAGTCATTTTTATTAAAATGAAAAAGCTTTAAAGTTTGTCTTTTGTATATTTTTGCTCTTATTTTGTGGACGCTGGTTCTTTGCAAATTTAATTTACTCAATTAAAAGCTTCACTTAGTCAATCTTCTCTGTTAAGTTTGTTTGATTTTGTGACAGAAGACTTGTGTTTGAATAATAGTTGAGCAGCTTATTCCAGTTATGCTATTTTGAGCCGGTCACACCGAGTCCCAATTTCTTCATAATTAAAAATAAGGCAAACCTATCGACATCTCATAATTAAATGAAATACAGATGGATTTGAATTTCTAAACTAGTGGCTTTACAGATATTCTGATGCTATAATTATTACTATATAAAAATAATGACAGCAAGAATAATAGTAATAAGGCCTTGTTAAAGTGCTCCATTATGAAAAATTCAAAAAGTCCTGAAATTATAAAAAGTCTTGTTCTGTAGGGACCTTGTCCTGATATCTGTTCTGAAACCACAACTTTGTTTTTAAAAAGGAAGGAAATAAACAAAAAGCCTGTTGCCATGTTGGCTTATGTTCTCTGCAAAACAGAAGGATGAATGAAAAAAATAAAATAAAATTGAGTTTGCCAATGGAAAAGGACAAATCTGGTAGAGAGAGGCCTGCAAATTCTTGAGTATATGCAAGACTGTAGGTGCGTTAGAAAGGAAATGGGTTTGCACTTTTCTGTGGTTTATTGACAGGACAGGATAGTGACTTGGCCTCACTCTGGCTCTATCTGTATCCCCCTTTAGATAGGAGCTATGATGTACACTAAAGTCATATAGCCCCCAGACACAATTTTATATTTTTTCTCTCACAGTATGGTGAAACCTCCTGTTGCCAAGTCCAAATTATAGCTGGTAGATGTGTGTTTTCCTGTAGAAGTCTGTTTATGTTTCCAGCCGAATTTTCAGGTTGGAGCCAAACAAATGTCTACTAAGTGTGATGATAAGAATGAAAAGATTTTCAGATCTGGAAGGGACCTAAGAGATAATTTAGTCCATCCCTGCATCAGCCATCTAGCTAAGGCCTTTTGCAGTACTGGTCCTTGCTAACTGACTCCCTCTCTGTACAAATGGAAAAACTGAGACCAAGAAAGTGTAGATCATGTAGTTTCCGACTGAACTCTTAATGAATCTGAGAAATCATGACTCTTGGATTTGTTCTTCTTCTCACTGAGCGCATGGTTTTGCTTCAGCCCTCTGTCTGGCTCTGAGGTTCAGATGAAGGGGTTTCCTACTGCTGTTTGGAACGACCAGGTGCTGATGGAGTTCTGCTTGACTCACTGAATGTCTCATGTTTGCTGTAAACTTTCTTTTTCTTTGAAAAGGGCAAATAAATAGTTAGCACGAAGAATTATTGTTTTGACAATTCTCATTTTTATGGAAAAAGATGAGTCTTGGAAAATAAATGAGACATTTTCTGGTTGTTTCTGTCAGGATCAATTTGACCTCTGTGCCTGTAAGTTTTGGAGTGTGCTTTTAGCAGTCACTTCATTCATTCACTGTTCTTCATTGATTTGCTATAAATTGAATACCTTCTCTAACTCAGGGACATATATTAGAGATCATAATCTTAGAACTTGGCATCATGGATCTAGAATTTCAATTGTAGGCCTGTTAGATTTGTTCTGAATTGATGCCACAGAACAAAGGGGGCTGTATGACTTTAGGGTAATTTCTTTCTATTTCAGCAACAATTGGCAGGTAATAGCATTGTTTAGAATAGTTTCAACGGGTGGGGGGGGGCAATGTGTCATAAAATTTCAGGTTTGCAAGGGAATTAGAGGCCATAACTCAAGTCAAGTCCCCTTCTGTTGTTAGAATCTCCTATTTTTTTTTTTCTTCAACTTTGTAAAATGCTTATGGGTGACTATTATAGGTAAGGCAATGTTGAAGGATGAAATGGATCAGTTACCACCTCTGAATCAAATTTGGGGATATATATATATATATATATATATATATATATATATATATATTCTTCTAAATTAAGGTGTTTCATGGTAAATTATGCCTTAATCATCATGCTTTGATCAAAAGCATAATCTAAGTCTTATGTTGTGGTTGAGGGTCAGGAACCTATATTAACTCTGACTAGAGACATACAGGAAGGAACTTTGGAAATAATTTCAGTTGAACTGAACTTTGATGGCTGGATAGGACCTTAATTTCAGGTGGGTGATTGGAATGTTCAGTAATGACATAATAAGAGTAACAATACAAAGGGGGGAAACACAAAGTAAGTGTGATAAGTCTGCATCTCTGGCTGTGGAATTTGTCCTTTATTCTGGAATAATTGACCATTTTTTGAGGTCTTTGTTACTATTTTAAATATAAGGATGACATCCCCAGATCTGTGTTGGTTGCCAAGAGGTGCTTTTAACACACCATAAGGCAAAATGTGTTGACTTGTGGGAAACCCCATGCAGACAGCTCTGATTGTCTGGTCCACTTCCTTGAGCTCCTTGGGGACTTATCTGCTGATACCTGATGGCTTTGGGTTCAGGTGCCCCATATTTAACTTCCTCTTTTTATATTTCTACTTCACTATTTTTTCATGACCTCCAATTGACAATGTTTAACTCTGCCTCTCCCATTGTGACTCAGTCCTGTGGCTTACTTTTACTTGCCTAGTATCCAGTGGTTTTATGCCTTCAGTGTTTATGTCTTCTCTTCTATTCATTCAGGCCGGATGGCCATGTGTGCTACTATAACTCCAGTCCCTTCACCTGATAAAACAGACTGTTTTGTCCATTCATAACTAGTTACTCCAAATGATAATTCATTTTCTTTTATTGAACAGAAATTTATCCCTTCATGATTTCCTCACACAGATTTTCTTCTTAACCTCTTAGGAAAGAATGCACATTTGAATGTACATCCAGCCAGGAGAGTTAGCTGATGTCTGTCCCCAAGCAGTTGATCAATAAAGCTACTGAAATAGGTGACTATTCTGAGG